TGTTTTTTATTCCAAGAAAACTCGACATGTTATACCTTGCTCATTCTACTCATTTTGTTTGCTCATTTTGTTCATTATGCAAACAATAAATTTCCCAATAATTTCAATAATATTTTTTCTGATTGTTGATACATGAGAAAGTAAAATAAAATATCAAGTAGAGGAAACACCAGATACTATAGTTGTTGATTAAATAATAAAGGTCGTGAACCATGTTAAACTTTATGTCAACAAATTAGATAAATCGACCGGTTAACCGCAACTATAGTCATGGCTTGTTTGTAGAGTTGTCTCCAATTTTTTCAATGAAAAAAATGTTCCCACTAAATATGTTGGGTTTCCAAGTATATGTTAGTGTTCATCCGTGCTGTTCTACAGAAATAAGAAACTTCGACGGGAGCGATAGCGACCGGAGAATGTTTCTAATTTCTGTAGAACAGCTACGGATGAATACTAACATACTTAGTGTCAAAGTTCATTTGGCGTCATTAATATTCATTTTATTACTTCACTATCAGTCCGCTTAATTAATTAATTATTAAATTTGACCTTATTAATATGCATGTTTTACGTCACTTTGCGCGCGAAGACGCATGTACCCCTTGTAATATGAATGACGGCATATTGATGATGCGACTTTCCATTTGCCCGATAATCATATTGAAACCTTTATTTTCGGAAAACATTTTTGATTAGTTGGATAATTGTTACCTGATATCATTTATACACTTTGATTAGTTGGACAACCTAATATCTTCTATGGTTTATACATGTTTACACTAAATATTACGTGTTAACACGAGGTCACGTCATCTATTTTCAAAAAAAAACATAATGTCTACTTTCACTTTCTGTCTACCGACAAAAAGTGAATTGACACATTGATGTAATTTTCAATTTGCTAAAAATAGATTCAGGACATTTCTCGCTGTATCTTTTACGTTTATATAGCAATAATGTAAAGTTTCAGTATACAAACAACTGCTAGGAATGGCTCTTGTAAGTTTGATTTTCTTTTTCTTCCTTATCTTCATATTCATTGATAATCTTTTTCAAAATTTTCTTTTTCTTCCTTATCTTCATATTCATTGATAACCTTAGAAAGATTTTGGTTTAAAAATTGAATGATAATGCTTTAAAAACCTTCTTGATTCATGTATATATTCCTATATAATTTATTTATATTTGTATAATAGTTTATGCTTTATATGATGTAATGATGGGGTTTCGTTGACAAAACGACGTAATAATGTCGAAATAATGTCATGTTACATTTAAGAAAACAATGTAATGGGAATGTTATACCTTGCTCATTCTACTCATTTTGTTTGCTCATTTTGCTCATTATGCCTAATAATTTCAATTTTTTTTTCTATTTTTTATTTTATTGCAAACGGGGTTCTATGAAGCACTATGAAAATGAACAGAATTTGATATAGTATCGACCTTTGTTCTTCTATGAAAATTAATACTCATTATTTTGAAGAAATACAGCGTTTCCATTGGATGACAAATAAAGTTGGACACTAATCCAGAAAATTGACACTTTTTAAAATGTACCATTTTTTTTCTAAAAAAATGACAATTTTATGAATAAAAACCCTATTTATTTGTCATCCAATAGAAACGCTGTATGTCATGCATATTTATAAGGTCAAATTCAGGTAATTAATTAATAAAGCGGACTGGTAGTGGCGTGATAAAATGAATATTAATGAGGCCAAATAAAGTTTGACACTAAATATGTTAGTATTCATCCCTAGCTGTTCTACAGAAATTAGAAACATTCTCCGGTCGCTATCGCTCCCGTCGAAGTTTCTTATTTCTGTAGAACAGCACGGATGAACACTAACATATACATATTTACTGGGATTTTTTTTCATTGAAAAATTGAACAGAAAAACTAGACATGCAATAGTGGAGGACAACACTCTAGACGAGTTTTTTCCTTCTTTGTCTATATAAAGCAGCCATCTTGGATTTTGATTTTGGGAGCAGTCAATTTTCGAGAGGATATAGTTATCTGGAGAGGTCATTTTTTATGATAAGTCAAACTCTGCTTAACAATTGCTTTACAGGATCAATCCTATAGCTTTTTTAAATCTCAGACCACTATAGTATATGATATGCAAAATAATGACGTTATAGTAGTTATAAAAGACAACAAACAATAATGCAATATTCATATTTTATCATCATAAAACATACAATTTAATAACATTAATGATACAATAACTCTTCAATAGCCATATGGAAAAGACACATAACCATCTCTAGATCTCACTCTCTTATCAAATACAATCCTATACTGTTTTGTTTGGATCAGTGTTAAAAGTTTAGCTTGATCACGGTCTTTACATATTTTATGGTAATCTGTTACCGTTACAATTTCATTTGACAAGCGATGGTCTGTTAACATCCTACACACGTATTTTAATTGAAACCTTAAATCGAATATTATTTTGCCTGTCTGAAGTAAGTGTTAACATCTCGGCTCCTCGCTACTAAATGCAGAAAACTGAGATTTTCCGATAATTATTTGAAGTGCACGGACATAATAGAGAACAACAGACATGTGTTTCGTAACTTTGTGTTTGTAAACAATTGCTCAATTGTACTTTTTACAAGTATCTGTGTATATATTATTGTCATTTCTATTGTTTTATATTAAGTAAATGATTTATTAACGTTTTGTGGAACAAAATGCATAAATGTTCATTAATAATCATATCATTTGTGAAAAAAAAGCATAACAATATCGTCCTTCCCGTGTTTCAATATGAGTTATATGACACAATAGTGGCACTTACGAACGGTAACACAGGTTTTTGTCGGATTGAGAGATGGCATAATCTGATTTATCTTTACTAGTATTAAGAATATTATTTCATGATATACAGTTGAACTTTGTGACATATTGAGATTAATGAATCCATTTCGCCTAATAGATTCAAAGCTCAAATATACGGTCATATTGCTGAAACTTCACAGTTTCAACACTGAAACCATCCCTTAATTGGGACTCCATCTGCAGTGGATGCAACATAGATTCATTCTCATGACGGGGACAGGAAAGATTTAAACGTTACGGGTTGCATTTCGTAACATATCTCCCTCGCCCTAGAAAATTACTCACACTGCAGACAGCAAGACCACAGACGCTTGGGGTTTGGAGCTCAAAACGCCTTTAAAATCCAAATAAAATGCATATTTGTCAATCCCAGGACATGTACTGATCATATATATCAAAAAAAACTTAATATAAGCCGTTTTGAAAAAAAATCATATTTCAACATCTATAATAATACACAAGATAAAAATGTTCGCCGGAAAAAATCCGCACCCCTACCGTCATAATCACCATGTATTTTATTCCATTTCCAATATTTTCACATAATCCTTTGGTCCATCGACACAGAAGATATAATTCTTCACGATTTTGGTCAATTTTAAACTTCAACGGTAATATAAACAACGCAACAGCCGAAATAAACATCAATATTATCGCCGTTTTTTTCCAACGACAAAATCTTTCGATAAATTCAATGGACCAGACGGCTATGAACGAAGCTATCCGATTATGTGGTTCCCAAACTTAAAAGCGCTGCGCATTTTGCACACGGCAAAGCTGGGGCCACATAATCGGATAGCTTCGTTCATAGCCGTCTGGTCCATTGAATTTATCGAAAGATTTTGTCGTTGGAAAAAAACGGCGATAATATTGATGTTTATTTCGGCTGTTGCGTTGTTTATATTACCGTTGAAGTTTAAAATTGACCATCATCGTGAAGAATTATATCTTCTGTGTCGATGGACCAAAGGATTATGTGAAAATATTGGAAATGGAATAAAATACATGGTGATTATGACGGTAGGGGTGCGGATTTTTTCCGGCGAACATTTTTATCTTGTGTATTATTATAGATGTTGAAATATGATTTTTTTTCAAAACGGCTTATATTAAGTTTTTTTTGATATATATGATCAGTACATGTCCTGGGATTGACAAATATGCATTTTATTTGGATTTTAAAGGCGTTTTGAGCTCCAAACCCCAAGCGTCTGTGAGCAAGACAAGCTCTCATATATAACACTACGCGGACAACTCTACGTATTAAATCGTTAAAAAATATTTTTGTTTTGTCTCATCACATAATTATATTTTAAACGTACGTTACTTGTTTGTTTACGGTGTGACCAGTAAGAAAACGTCCCAGCAAATGATGCCTTTATAATCAACCAGATGTTATAATTAATAATTTTGACAGGTATCCAATGAGAATACAGTATTTCTACAACGCACGCGTGTTAAATATTGATTTTATCATAACGCTGTTCATTAATTTACTTTCCATATTTTATGTTATATATTGCTTTATCTAAAAATATATTGCTGTTCTTATGTACCTCAAAATAATCAAACAAGCTTAATTAATCGAATAGTACATTTATGTAAGATATTATTAACATAAGAATAATGTGTAATGCGTTAACGGCCACAAGGATTATGTGAAAATATTGAAAATGGAATAAAATACAAGGTGTAAACGAAGGTAGGTGTGGGGATTTTTTGCGGCGAACATTTTTATCTTGTGTATTATTGTAGACGTTGAAATATGAATTTTTATCAAAACGGCTTATATTAAGTTTTTTTATATATGTGATCAGTACATGTGCTGGGATTGACAAATATGCATTTTATTTGGATTTTAAGGGCGTTTTGAGCTCCACACCCCAAGTGTCTGTGCTGTAAACCACTTTTCAACAAAATTACAATTCAAGGGAGATAAACAGATACATTTTATGCATTGAATATTTGCGCGAGCAACTCCCCTTTATGTATCATTAACAATTTAAAAAAGATAAAATTGTTACATCATTTAAATGATTTTCTGTCTCATACAACACTAGTTATAGTTTTAAAAGATAAATCAACATACGCTGTTAATCGAAAATAATATGGTACACGTACTTTCGTTTTAACTTTCATAATTTTACACTTCGCTGAATAAGCTGTAATTTCCAATTTGCTAAAAATAGATTCAGGAAATTTCTCGCGTAAAGTTTCAGTGTACTTTCTGTGTGTAAAACAACTGCTAGGAATGGCTCTTGTAAGTTTGATTTTCTTTCTCTTCCTTATCTTCATATTAAATAATAATCTTAGAAAGATTTTAGTTTCAAAATTGAATGATAATGCTTTAAAAACCTTATTGATACATGTATATATTCCGAACTATTTATTTATATTTGTATTATAGTTTATGCTATATATGATGCAATGATGAGGATTCGGCGAAAGTAAAATAAAATATATAGAAGTGGATACACCGGATACTATAGTAGTTGATTAAATAATAAAGGTCATGAACCATGTTAAACTTTCATGTCAACAAATTAGATAAATCGACCTCATTAAATAGTGGTTAACCGCAACTATATATGAGCCGCGTCACGACAAAAGCATCCGCGCAGTCTGATCAGGACCCATGCTGTTCGCTTACCAACCCTATTACATGTAGAGAAACTGATAGCGAACAGCATTGATCCTGATCAGACTGTGCGGTTGCGCAGGCTGGTCTGGATCCATGCTGGCCGCAAACCCATTATATAGTCGTGGCTTGTTTGTAGGGTTTTAGGTATTTAATACATGTCAAGTTTTCCCAATCAGGGGGTCGAACGTATAGCGGTGCGATACTCCTTTAAGCGAGGTGATTTCATGCGATACGCCCTAATGGCGGATTTACCCGTGTAAACACACGTCAGAGTGAGTGTTTTTTATTTTGTATTTCATAAATCTTCGATTACAATTGCATATTTTGTATTGAGGATGTGAAGATAGGACCGACACACATTTCATCAAAATTACTAAAGGCCTAAATTCATAATTAAAAAAGTTATTAAAGGTAAACTGACGGCAACTAATTTTGGGTGAATAAAATTGCTTAATGCAAGCTTATATTAATATAGTTAATTTCTTTTTCTTCTTTATTCTATAAGAGTAATCATAATTGAGTTGCATAGAAAGTACCGTTGTGCTCCGATATACATAGACCCTTACTGGTCAAAATATTTAAGTGTACGCTGGATTTTGGTGCGATAAAATAACTCTACGCTGTTAAAGGTTCGATATTTTTCATTATCACATCTGCTGTACATGTTTTCCTATGATTATACTAAGATATCTACCATATATGTGCCCGTTTCCGGAATTCTAAAATCTTCTTCTTTCCTTAAAGATTTACTTGAAATAAAAGTTTTGTATAACTATCTATACGAGGGTTTGAACTTAATTTCAATAATTAATAATAATTATCCTGTGATAATTAGGAGTTGGAAAAAAGTAACCTTTACTCTAAGATCTTAGATAAAAAGTAGGAATTTGACCAAAATATGTAAGAATGAATTTAAGAAACAAATTAAGAAATCTTGTATAAATTAACTCACTTTCAAAGCAGAACATTTCAGAAAAATAGCTGTTAATATGTGATATAAGGGCTGTTTTACTTCATGAGGTTCTAAGATCTTTTGTACATGCTGCTGTCAAACTGATATTTTTTCATATTATAAATAGAATTGAACATTTCAAACTACCTATAAAATACAGTGAAAGTACATTTCACTGCTGTTCTAGAGATAGAGACTGAGAACCAGGTGGTAAAAATCTTTAGGTGATAAAATTCTTCTCTAAAATGTTGCTTAGAACAGGATATTTTTGTAGTGCACATAATTGTGGCCTGTCAGGAAAAACACAAAACTACAATTTCAATGCTCACATGTGCAAATACACAGTTGTAAATGTTGCAGAGCAATTAAAACATTACAAATTGATTCATAAACAAAACTACTGCCAGATAGGTAAAGTACCACAAGTACAAATGCTGACACATGTGCAAATAAACAAAAAGCTATTTAGTATATAATATTAGATTGAGTCACACTGCTTATGCCTAGGTGACAAATAAAACGGGCGCCGTCCGATTAAACGATTTTTATAAAATCGGCAGATTTTTTGATGTCGTGGACGCTGGGCGATTTTAAATCTGAGACATTGCGTGGTCATGAATGAAACAGTCGTCGGGCGATTTTTGCCGAGTAGATTTTACAGAAAGAATTGAACGGATCAGGCGGTCGCCGCCCGATGTCCGTGCGGCGCCTGTGCGATTCAAAAGTGAATCGGACGGTTGCCGCGCGGGCGTCGGGCGACAATGACTTTACATTTAATGACATCCTAGATAAATCAGCTAGTTGTAATTATGCCAGCAAAGAAGTCAGCTGCCAAAGCCAAGGGGAAGGCCAAGGAGTTGGTCCGTGTTGTTGACAACGAGTCACCAACGACCAGTATCGAGGCCGTAGAAGGCGAAAATCAATCAGACATTCGCATGGACATTGAAGAAAAAATTCATGTTTACTAGTATTCAAAAGAAATTCACAAATATATTTTTGAGGCAATTACAACTTCTTCAAGCTGAAATTACAACAAACACAAGCAGCCCGGTCGCCGGATGACAAAACGATGACCGCCCGGTGCCTGTACATGAATCGTCCGGGTACCGGGCGATAATCGTTTGACTACTTGTCTCTATTCAGGCACCGGGCGGGGCCCGGCCGATGTCCGCCCGGACGCCTTTTAAATCGGACGCTGTTTTAGTAGAACAAAAAATCGCCCGATCAAAAAATCATCGCCCGGTCGCCGCCCGGCGACCGAGCGATGTCCGCTCGATGATATTTATACTCAGTGACCCCAAAAATTATCGTCCGGCCGCCGTTAGCTTTTAAGTATTACTTAAAACTCGAAGGCGCCCGCCCGATGAGCAAAATTTTCAGCTGCTGCCGTCAAATAGTCACTGCCGCCGGACGGACGCCGGCCGATATTGCGATTTTTTGGAGAAACAGACGCCGCCCGGCGGCATTTTCTTATTTGTGACCTAGGCTTTATGGAGTAGTAGAGTATATAAATAACACATGGGTTTGTGGGCTACAGATAAAATATCATCCCAAGGAAAATATTGTTAGCCAATGTGTTAGCCGAGGAAGGTTTGATATTTTTACTGTTACTCACAAACGCTTGTGTGTTATTTATTTTATTTCCCGAACAGATACTGTAATCTATAATACTTTTATTTACATAAAAGAACACTTGCCCAGATTTTATACTGTTAAAAAGTGCTGTTGGCCGGTAACAGTACAAATCTCTTAGTACACTTGCTTTAACAATAAGAGTAACTCCTAGTGGAAATAAATATTTACAAAAAAGTGAGGGGTAATGCTAGACATTAAATGTTGCAGAGAAAGCCTAGTTTTAAAAGTAAAACTACTGGCAGATATGTTAAATCACTAAAAGTATGACTGCTTTTATAAGCAAATACACAAAGCTGTTTGGTATACACTGGTTATGGAGTAGTATAGTTATATATTCCAAGCGACAGAGCTAATGACAAACATCAGAATTACTGAAATACAATGATGTGCTCTGTATATAATATATAACATCCAATCCATAGAAGAAATCAAACCAGTATTTCTTTAAAATAAATTTCAAGTTCCATTGCAAAAAAAAAAAAAAAAAATAAATGGAAGAAACAAAACGAATATTATCGTGACTATTGATTATTTGATAGAATTTCAAGTTTCTGTGCATAACTTATCTCATTTTAATGATTAACCTTTGTGAGAAAAGAATATTTAAATTAACTTTATTATAGTATAATACATTAATTGACACTGTTGTTTTAATTGACACTGTGGTTTACATATGATTAACATACAAACTCAAAACTTGATATTTCATCAAAATTGAATAAGAATGTACTGTAATAAGGAAGTTGCTACAGTAAAACATACCAACATTTGTGCGTACAGTTGGTTTATCGGACCAAATACTAGGCGTACAGTAAGAAAACTTTAAATATTTTATATATTTTCGGATAGATATGGAAAACTACTCTTGTATATCGTTTTGTTTTCAAAAATAAACATGTTGGGACTTAAACTAATCGAATATCTCGTTTTAAAACGACTGATACATTATTCGTTTGCATGTGCATATCAGGTTGACGGTTGAATTTGCAGCAACAAATACCTCAATAACTTCCTCAATTCAATAAAATTTAGTATTTTATTTTCACAATCATGCACAATTATAAGTTCTGATCAGCATGCACAATGCTATTTTTCAAAAAATTACAATATACAACAAATATTTGGAAAAAAAACATGCTCATACCCACTTTCGTTTTCGCTCCCGTCCGCCATTAGGGCGTATCGCATGAATTCACCTCGCTTAAAGGAGTATCGCACTGCTATACGTTCGACCCCCTGCCAATTGTTTCAATAAAAACAAAATTCCCACTAAATATGTTGGGTTTTCTATCCAGAAAATTGAACTTTTTAAATGTACCATTTTTTTCTATAAAAAAATGTCAATGTAATAATTATAAACCCAATATATTTATTGGGAACTTTGTTTCATTGAAAAATTGAACAGAAAAGCAAGACATGTTATTCACCTGAAGATTTGGTAAAGAGTTGTTCGTCCGACTTTGCGTTGACAATTGTTGTTGTTGTTGTTTTTTTTTTGTTTTTTTTTTCTTCCCTCTTAAGAAGTTTTTAAGTGAAATTATTGGTTTCCGCAGAATAAATTTTGAAGGATTTCAGTGTTTGCTTTTAAATTTGGCATTTACGCATGTTATATAAAAACACTGGTCAAGTTTGATTTTCGCTGTAATAAACGTTTTATGTATAGAGTTATGCTCACTTTTAAATAATTGTTTCAGTGAATTTATTGGTGTTCGCAGAATTCCTTTTGAAGGATTTTATTGGCTGAGTTTATATTTATAAATTTTATATGTAATATCAAACCAGCTCATAGCCACCTTGATGTAGTTGATTTATTTTAATTGAAATCAAGTCATTTTGTTCAATTAACTTCCATTACTAATTTGTTAATTATACCTGTATACATGTACTTTTCATTTGCAATTGATGGAAAAGTAATTATTTGAGCCATTTACAAAAATAAATTTGCTATCTGTCTTTAAGACATTTTTTTTATCTGATGAATACTTTCTTGCAAACTTGCCATCGGGGTATATTGACCTGCCACAGCAGCGCTCTTGTTCCTTTATTTGTTATCCTTTTCCCTGTTTTTTTTTTTAGTATTTATTGAAAGTACCATCTGCGCTGAATACTTTGGTATCGAAACTTAGTCATGACGCTGACATTCAAAACCGGATACAAGGAATTTCTGCACGGGCACTTGCTGCAGCAGACGCCTACAAATTAACGTTTGATAATGAAGGAGGTAGTATTTTGGTCCAGAAGTCTCATCTAATGTCAACAGTGTCAACGGATGATGTGAGAATTACTAGTATGAAGAATTCGTTGAATGCAGCAATTGAAGCATTGCAATCAAATAAAAATCTTGTCATAAATCTTCAAACCGATATACATAGCAATATAGAAACTTGCAGGGGACGGAAGATGGAACATGACTCGGCTTTGTCTACAAAGCGGGAGCGAATTTCAAATATCAGCACCGAGATTGGAAGTCTTGATGAAAATATAAAAGTGCACGAAGAAGAAGCTGTTTCAGCAGAAACAGGTGCAGCTGAGCTAGAGGGTCGGCGAGATAGCATAAGACGAGCTGCTAGGAAAAAGAGAAAGAGAGCTGGAATAGGTGGTATAGTTGGTGTGGCATTAGCACCGTTTACAGGTTCGTTCAACTTCTTTTTTTTTCTTCACAGACAGCGGCTTTCTAAATATCCGCCATATTAACAACAAAACATAAATTCATACGATGAAAAAGTAAAACAGTATTATCAAGATAAGATTTGATATTTCAGGATACAAAATACAAAATTAAAAAGGATTATTTCATTATTAATGGTCAATCAAGAACAAAGCTTAATTAATTTCATCCATGAATCATAATGCTGTTTACTGAAACAACTTAAAACAGATCAAAATCATATTACAGCTTTTTGTTTACTAACTTTAACAGGTGGACTTAGTCTAGGTCTAGCCACAGTTTATGCAGGTGTGAATTTAAATGATGCTGGAGATTGTGAGAGACAAGCTAATCGTCTTCGGGAAGAAGCTAATTCAAAAAGAGAGCATGTCAAACAATTACGTGCAAAGAAAGAAATACTAGAAAATCAGAAATTATCCCTGGACGAAGAAGCAACGTCATTGCAAGCATATACAGGTAATCCATTTAATTATACAGTAAGAATATCTCGGGTTTTCGGCATATATATATGTATACATATATGTATATACAGTGTCTTAATTGCATAAAAGATAAAATTTAGTTCTTAAGATAGCAATTATCTTTCTTGTGAACATAATTGTATTCGTGATGATATACACCTACATGCACTTTGGCACACTTTCAAAAACTGACAGCAAACTGATGCGAAACATTTTTTTATTATTTCTATAACACTTAGATATCTATGTTGAGCAGAAATTAAAGGTTGCATAAAAATTTCTTACTTAATTAGATGTTAATGATTAAGTCTTAGAAATCTCTAAAAAAATTATGTGTGTAATCTATTACATGTACATAAAAATGTTTATTTCAGTTTATATATATATGAATGTTTATGTTTGTAATCTCTTAGATATAAATATTGATTTGAGTTATCTCTTATATATAAATGTTTATGTTTGTAATCTCTTATATATGAATGTTTATTTGAGTCATCTCTTATATATGAATGTTTATATTTGTAATCTCTTATATATGAATGTTTATGTTTGTAATCTCTTCTAAGTGAATGTTTATTTGAGTCATCTCTTATATATGAATGTTTATGTTAGTAATCTCATATATATGAATGATAAATTGAGTTATCTCTTATACGAGTTACAGCAAAAGTCCACGTAATTCTGGGACACCCCTCGTATATGAATGTTTATGTTTGTAATCTCTTATATATGAATGTTTATGTTTGTAATCTCTTTTAAGTGAATGTTTATTTGAGTCATATCTTATATATGAATGTTTAATTGTGTTATCTCTTGTATATGAATGTTTATGTTTGTAATCTCTTATATATGAATGTTTATGTTTGTAATCTCTTAGATATAAATGTTTATTTGAGTCAACTCTAATATATGAATGGTTATTTTGTGTAATCTCTTACGTATGGATGTTTATGTTTGTAATATCTTAAGTATTAATGTTTGGTTTCTTTGTCTTATTTCATATATGAATGTTTATGTTTGCAATTTCTTAGATATGAATGTTTACTGGAGTGATTTCTTACATATGATTTATATGATTATTGTTACATAAGTACTGAACACTGTTTACAACAGTTTGTTCTTTCATAGGGATTACTTTCGTGACTATTACTAGAAAAATCTTCAATAAAAATGAATGATCACACGCGAAATTACAAGAATGTTTACACATTTTTTATATAAGAATGTTTTTATGAGAACTGTTAACATGAATTATCCTTTACATATGAATGTTTTAGATTAATAATCTGAGTTTCAATCATACATTGTTGTATATCTTCAACACATATTTAAATGATTGTTTTTAAACTGTAATTAAATCTGCATATAAAAAAATACTTATTTCTACCTCAGATGATTTAGATAAAGCATCCCAAGTTCTTGAAGAAGTTACCGATTTCCTACGCAGGTCAATAGTTGATATTGACAATGTCCTCGTAGTCTTTCAGGTAATATGTTTTTAGTAATGAACCGTAAGTAAAAAATACGTCTATTATTATAGTACATGGTTAGTCCAATGCATTTAATGACTGCTTCAGGTTTATTTTAGGCCAGCACTATTAAATGTTGAGAATTAAGGACCGCTCACGCCGGTGCTCGGGGGCGTGAGAGATGTTGCACTTATTCATTATCTCTCATGTACAGACTCAAACAAACCGAGTCTGCAATTTTCATGTAATTTTGTTGTGATTAATGCTTCCGAGGAATCACTTTGTTTCCAGATTTTTATATCATAACGGAGTTATGTTATGTTAACAGTAACATTCAGGTGCGTTAATTGTGAGAGGAAATAAATGATATAATTGTGCTTAATAAGCATCATATTGTGTTGTAGTTTATGATAATATAATTGTTATATGGTGCTTTGTTAGTATAACAATAAAGCTTAGATATTTGAAACTTGTAATTCAGGATATGGAAAGTGCTTTTTCGGAAACAGTACTTCAAACAGATTCATTCAAAATAATACAGAATGCTTTTGCAAAACAACCAAATCGACTTGATTCTCTAGCACAAAACTACCTTGATCAGCTGAAGGTAATATTCTCTTTAATATGATTAAAGAAACGATATATAATGTATGATTAACGTAGACAGAACTTGACTATGAAGCTAGTGCCCTCAGTATTACAGTATAATTATTACAATGATGGGCGTTCTTTTGCTTGTCTGTATTTTTTCTAAATCAATGACTAGTAATTGTTTGGATAATTAAACATAAATTTACATAACTTTTTAAATAGAATGTTTTTTAAATCATATCGACATGCTTATTGAAATGATTTTCAATAAGGAACGCTTCGACAATCTTAGAAGTCTTTTGATTTATGAAATACTATTCTTATTTCAGTGTAAATGGACTCAACTAGAAACAACAATAGTAGAGAATAGCACACGAAGTAATCCAAATTGAAATTCGACGTGAATTATACCTACCAGAAACCAGCAAATACACGGAAAAGACAGACCATTTTATTGTTTAAAGACATCTAATAGAGATAAGCAACATTTAAAAAAAAATCTTGATCAAGACCATATAAAATTACCTTAATAATCGATCATGTCGGACTCACTCTTAAAACGTAAGGGATTCTGGTATAAGAACGGAATCTGAGGTAAATTAGAGAGAGACTTATCTGACTGTACGAATGCACATCCTGGTCCTGAATTATACTGGTGATGCATTGTCTTATATAATCTGCTTGCTTTATAATACAGAGAGCCTTATTCGTCCGCTTAGCTCAATAGGTATAGGTTGGACTGACTGTGAATCGGGCAACACGAGTTCGACGGTGTCACTTTCGTTGTGATTGATCATGAAATCCCTTCTACGGGTTCATTCGCACTGAATTGTTCTCAGTTATCTTCTTGACAGCTTGCCCAGGAACGATCTGGTGGCTGAACTTCAATGTGACTTGCTGTCGTAATTCGGAGTAAAGACTTCCAAACAACACCACCACCACACAGACATTTTTGAATAAAAACAACTTCAGTTATGATGATAATATTTTGAACAATTAAACAATATATAGTATAATTCGTCAGCTTAACGCCCTTAAAGAACTTTTTTCTGAGTTATATGCACAACAATATACAGAACAACGAGTGAAAAATAAAAGGGGACAGAAAATATTCATATTGCAAGTATTTTTTTTATTTCATGCGATGTTTAAATGAGTTAAAAGTAATACTGATATTTTCGTAAATTTACAATTAATCACAGTATACCCATCAAAAGTTTAAAAGTAGCGTTAAATCTTATTTATACCTGATAGATTACTTCTGACAGATCCAGAAAAAGCAAATAAGACGGATTTACCTTTTCATTGTACCGTTGATTTTCCGTTCTTTCGCTTAGAACCGTAAGAAAATTATATACATTTCCAATGAAATCTTTGTTATTACAATAATCAAAATTAAATGCAGCATAATTCATACAGACTTTTTTAATAACTTTTTTCTTTAAATCACACTATTTCAGAAAAAATTGAAATTTCAAAAGTTCATAGCTATTTTCTGGATGTTACATCAAATTACAGTATTAAATTTTCTTTTCGTTAACTGACTCAAAACCTTTGTAGTAAGTCGTTATATACCTGATGTTACTTTTTAAATCGGCCAAAAACCTGATTTTCATTTCTAATTACCCTTGATTGTCTTTCAAAAGTAATCATATGTACCAATGGACTATAAAATATTGCCATAAAAATGTTTACTTTATACAGTTTTCTTTTTTGTTTTTTCTTATTCGAAATTTGATAGAATTCAAAAGACAAAACATTTTCTTGGTTACATAAATTACTGGATTACCTTTGTTTTGCTACCATATGCAAATACTGATTTACATGTTTTTTCCGTTTTTTGCCGATTTTGTTTTCCTTTTTCCTGTTATCTTCAATGGCAAAATGAAAAGACTGGTTATAGCCGCTTCCATATTTCAGCCTGTTAAATACTTTGTTCATTTAAAATTAATCAGAATGTCTCAGTTTAGAAACATGTTTATTGGTAAATTAAAAAGTTTTATTATTAATGTAACAAAGCAATAAGTAAACAACAACAATAATATAGAATAATATAAATATAGAAACAGAACAATACGAAAGATGAAACCCACCGTGTACGAACACAAACAAAGGGGTAGTTGCTATACAACAGTCAGAATATTAATTTACTGTTACATAGTCTAAACAGTCTTTGACTTACGTAATGCTTAGTTTAGAATTCACATGGGATTGAACAGGAAGGTAACTGAGGTATGCCATGCTATATACTAATATAAACGTCATCATTATCAATTTCTTTTACAATAAGCTGACGTGAGATTAGCTTTTAAAACTTTAAATGCTCATGTGTTTTAGGGGGTTTTTTTTGGCAGCATGCCTCCAGATTCATGCTAATTTTCATGAAAATTTTGAAAATGTATTGAAGAGTAAAATATTGTGAAGTGAACAAGGAAAGTAATTTACATCTTGCAAACGGCACTTTCAATCCACGTAAATAACCAAAAATAGGTCAAAATATGCATAAATACCTCTTACTGTGTTAGTAACGCAGTAGGATTATACTGATTGATACTGCAAAATCAGTACTTTTTACTTTCCTTAAGATCTTAATACATTTTTCTAAAGAATGGATTTCTTGAAATACTTGGCTCATCTGGAGGCGTGCAGCTTTAAGGTTACACAATATATCACATGATCATCTTTTTGAAAGACTCAACAAAACTGCAATATAACGGTTTTGTTGTTTTGTCCATATTACTCTCGACAGACTTTTCACTTTTGTTATTTGTTTTGTCTTTGGGGGCGCCATATAATAGTTCCGACGCCATTTTGTGTTTCTCGCTGTTAACCATTATATGAGAAAGCCAATCAAAAGCCTCTTGAAGCCCATTGTCTTTAACACGATTAGCGATGACACCAAACACTGTCCAATGTCTATCATCCATACATTTATTTTCTTGTACCTTTTGTGTTATTTCCTCTGGCGTCATAGCGCCTTCGATATCTTGTTTATTAGCAAGAATAAGAACGGGAATATCACGGAGTTCGTCTTCCCTCAAAAATCTACGTAACTCATCTATTGCATCTTCGAATCTATAAAATAAAACAAAATGTCGCATTTCGCTACACAAACCTGGTTCATCTACTATTTGAAAAGATTATAAAAATAGCTATACTGCTGCGGTCTATAGTATACAGAGATTTGTTAAAAGTCACTTAATCATACAAACCTCTATACTTAATTATACATGCCGATATTTAAATTTGTTTCAACTCTTATCTGGCTTTGTATTGCAAAACGGCATTATCTTTGACTGCATTACAGAAAATACTAGTAATCTTTCCAGTATATACAGCTGTGGATGTTAACTTAATTACTTATAATAAGCTTATTACTGTCTCTATGCAGTTAGAGTATTATTTCGTATTGTATTGTATTGTGTAATGTTTTGCAATGTTTTTCATTGATTAGTTTTGAACTGCACTGCATTGTATTGTATTGTATTTTTTATATAACATCTATAATTTTGAACACTTTTTCACTTTAAGGTAAATGCTATAAATTTACGTGTGGGAAATTCACTTTTGTGCTAATGAAAAAGAACATGCCCCCATAAAGGTAATATTACTGACCGCTGGCAACAGTAAAGCACCTTTGACAAAATCCATATAAATTCAGACTTTGTGTCCTATATATTTTAAATTAGCATTATTTGTATGGGATAAAAAATTATCTTTCATATACATATATATCATAATGTTATGTGTACCAAAAAAGGCGTGAATCTATATCAACCAAAAATAACAGCTCATGTTATTAATCAATGTAAATATATAATAGATATAATTTTTCATGTACATACCTTTCTTTATCATTACTGTCAACTACATAGACAAGTCCCTGTGTGTTTTGAAAATAATGTCGGTACAAAGGTCGAATTTTGTCTCTTCCACCCACGTCCCAGGCTGTTATATTGACATTTTTGTAATTAAGCGTTTCTACGTTAAATCCAATAGTAGGAATGGTTGTCACAACTTCACCAAGTTTTAAAGTATATAATGTGGTTGTTTTTCCTGCCGCGTCTAGACCCAAAATCAATATCCGTACCTCCTTCTTACCGAAAAAATATTTAAAAATTGAGTTTCCCATGATTGATCTATAACAGTTATTTTACAGAAGTATTAACAAAGCTCGAACGCTAGTTATTATACAAGGTATAAGCGTTATCGTCAATTATGACAAACATTTGTAAACACATAGCCACGGACACGCTGTCAATGTTATACGCTATCCGGTTTCTATAAATAGCGCATTGCGTTTTATTTATGCGCCGTAAATTACGGTACAATCGCGGGAAGTTTAAACCACGTCAATGTGTTTTCGGATAAAAGGATAATTATATAAGATAATTTTCCAGTGTGAGCTTTTGCAATTTACCGGTACTTGTTTTTCAGAGGAGGTCATGGGTCTCATTTTGAGTGATTTTCACTAGCTTTTCCACGTTATTTCCAGTTTTTGTTTGTTTGTTTCATTTTACGCCTTTTCCAAACAGTATTTCAGTCATATAGTCTGGTAGAACCATCGTTCCTGGACAGTTACACCAGTACTAGACTACCTTCCTCTGTGCTAAACTACCAAAGCATCTCCCAGGGATCGAACCCACGCCAGAGAGGGTCATCGACTCTAACCCTTCGACCACAGAGACGGTAAAACAGTAACTGAATCTTCGAGAGGTTCGAAATACTAGATTCACGTGTCGTTACCTAGTTAACTTGCATGGCTCGATTACTAAGAGCGTGAAACTTGTAATCTCGACATTGTTATTTGGATTCCCATGCAGACAGGCAAGCTAAAACTTTTTTATGACATTAGACTTTAAATCGAAGCCCCGTGCTTTAACACTTTGCACGCTAAAGAACCAGAAGAATTTTCTGGAATTGGAGCATCTTTCTGTATCTGTATCTTGCACTGTCCTCCAAAATTTAAATTACTAGTGTTCTTCTTGATGTCTCGCCCATATGGGCAACCGGTGGCGAGTATTACACACAAAATATCGTTTCTTGGAATTGTGCAAGGGTAACAGAGTGGCACCCACCAGTCATCGTACCGGTATACGATATACTAAAATCATTTTATCTGCTTTATTGCTTGTAGTAATGTATGTCAAAATTCTGCGGAACTATTATGTGTGTATACATGACAACATTTTTTTGTTTATTTCGTGTTTGGTAGGCTGTATTAATTAACAACAATATGACACAAGCCAATTTGCATAATTGATAATTTTATAATACATGAAAACATGAGATACTTTAAAAAATATTGTTAAGTAATTATAAATGGTGAGGGAAGTGCTTGTCGGATTTAAATTTTCACTTCAAGTATATATACCTCAACATTTAAGCCGATTGATGCTATTATATATTATACATACCCATGATTTGATCTTCGTGAACTTTGTCGAAGTAAACATAACAATCGAAACAATTATGAATGAACTACAACAACCTTAAAAACTGACAATATAAAATTTAGAAATATTTCATTCCATTAGAAAATTGTAAGAGTTTATTTATGCATTCAAAAATATATTACAGCACAGTAAAATACAATATACCACTTAAACAAAAAAAGGACGGAGACGGAACAAATACAAACGCATGAGCTAAAAGCACTTTGACTCATGTAACACATTTTTGTTATTTCTATTTACCACTCTAAAAATGAAATCTATTAACACGTTGAATAGGTTGGTATTTGGTTAAATACGAAATTCATTTTAGTTTGATTGTGTACGAAGCTTAAAGATTATAGACACACTTCCGTATCCGTTCCTGGAACCAACCAGTACTGGACAATGAATTTAAAGTATCTTGCTACAGGAAACAACTGCTCGCCCATGACAAGGTTCAAACCTGCGCGAACAGAGATAATTAGATTACTGGTCCGACATTTTAACCACTCGGCCATGCCGCCACAAGCTACCATGATGCGTAAATGTTTAGATGACTGGTACTGGTACGTACAAGAAAAACTCACACCGCAATTTGAAAAAAAAACAACATGGGCGGGGCAAATGGCACAACCATTTAAATGGTTTCGAGGTCATTAGAAAGAAAGGACCTGATAACACAAAGTCAGTGCATAAAGTATGCCAGATCATTCAGTATTAAAATGGAAGATGAGTTAAGATGTGTATTTACAAGCTGATCAGGTGAATGTGCTAACATGTAATAAAACCATTTTTGATACAAAAGTATTACCACCAGACTTTTTACTGCTCAGATGATGTTATACTTGTAAGTGAAATTAACCTTAAAATTGTTGATTTGGAAAATAATGTCAGTAATAAAAAAAAAACAAAAAAAAACAACACTTGACACAAATTATCATTTTTTTAGCTCTATTCATTCTGATATGAGAAAGAAACTTCATTTAAAGTATGTTGTGTGTACTACACCCAAATGTACGAATAAAACATTACGCAAGGGTAAACAATGGTGGACTGATGGATTGTCTACACTGTGAAATGAGATGAGTTTTGGCTGTTTTAACAACAACAATTACTTTTTACAGATGTAATAACATGATTCATTTTGTTTTATATTAAAATATGGGTAAATAGATGGGGACAGATATATACATAGTTAATAAGTAAATAACATGTCTATCAGTTTAACACAATATTTAAAACTTTGTAGATCTTGTTAACCTCATTATCTGTAATTTAAATGGGAAAAAGGCACGTTGGGAGAATTGGGGTAGGCACGGGTAAAGCGTGGTATGTTATGAGAATTTGATCACGTTGAAAGCGTGATTAAGTAAGGTATTTCATTGACTAGTGAATAAGTTGGGAGAATTACACCACGAGAAAAAAAACATAGTGAAAAACGTATGTCATTGACTGGGAGATTTAGAAAAGGTAACAATGGATATTACATACTACATGATATTTAAGTGCTAGAGAAAAGTTAACATTAAATGACAATAGTAAATAAGTCCTAACAATAATGAACTGTATTCTTAAAAAAAACGTCTGCTTGAGATTACAACGGCGAAAACAAACATGGATTTAAACATGCATATGATAAATGGGTAAGTGACTGAATGATTATATTCTCTAGGGACAAGTATTTTGGAAAAAAATTATTATCAAGTGTAAGAAAGTACTCAGATTATTTAGGACCACTAAAGATTCTGTGGACATAAGTTCCCTAAATTTGATTACATTTGTCCTATTATAGAACCTTCTCGGAATATATTTCATTCTTACGTCAGTAAAAAAGGGACATTTTAGAAGATAGTGAAATTCGTTACCCACGTCAGTTAGTGAACATAACATACACTTCCTCTCTTCATACGGTAGTGTACAATTGCGCCACCTGCCTGTTTCTACTGGCAATCTATGATTACCTGTTCTATAATGGAATATTGTTAGTCTTTTATTTGGGGTAATATATTTAAATATGGTTCAAATTTAATATCAGATTTAAATAACCTATAATCTGTTCCTTTCGAGGAGTTTGCTAGATTCTCGTTGAATTGCTATATAAACTGGTCAAGTAATGTTCTTTTTATTAATTTACCTACGCTTTTTAAAATGAAAATTTTCTGGTTGATCCAATAGTAACTAGTATTTCCGGTAAAATCAAGAATATTTTTGACATAATTTAACCATTTGTAATTTATTTCTGAATTCAACATGAACTCATAACATTGCCTTGAAATTTTAGACGCACTGCACATAAGAAGTTTCCATCAGTAATTTATTATTCTTGTTTTAATGACTATTTCAAGCGGATATCGACCTAGCTCACCATATAACATGTACAGGGGCATACTTTTCTTGCTGTTTGTTATTTTGCGGAGGAAGTCGGTGTGAACCCTTTCGATAAAATTTAAATTTTCAAAGCCTCAAACTTCGAAGTTATATGTTAGTATAGGTACAATTGTTTGCCGAAAAGTTTTATCTGTACGTCAATTGGCAAGTCAATGTTAGCTATACGCATATATAGGATATGTAGTGCCTTTTTAGCTTGAATTATTAACTGTTTTCGTGCTTTTAAACATGTGTATTTTCAAAAACGGAAAGAATTTGACCGTTGTGTACAGCGTCAGAAAAGGGTGTATACCGAAATGTGCCAAATCATATAGAAAGTCTTGCAGTATCAAATTGTAATAGTTTTTGGAAGAAGATATTAGGCAAAATAGGTTTAGGTATATGATATTATAAATGATGAACAGAATGGTTTTGTTAAGGGTAAAAGTACAACAAATCATGTTCCCTCAATAAATAACATTATAGAGACTAGGAAGCTTAAAAAGCAATCAATTTTTCTGGTATAATACTGTTTAAAAAGAAATTGTTGATCAAAAGGAGCAATAATAACTGTCAAGCTATCCCCCATACCCTTAAATCTGCTTATGCCTAACACTGTACATTGAAAACTTCCCTTTTAATATTTACAATTAGACGAGTCACAAAGGTAGTAAGTATGTTGCAATATTAATAAAACTTTCTCTGGTGCTAGATTCTCCCTCATGTTTTCACGTTATCATCTTTTTGAAAGACTCAACAAAACTGCAGTAAAACGGTTTTGTATTTTTCTCAACATTCCCGTCAGAAGCTACATTATTATTTTCTTTGTCATTGCGAGACATCATTTCTGACGCCATTTTGTTTTTCTCACTGGCAACCATTATATTAGACAGCCATTCGAATGCCTCTTGAAGCCCATTGTCTTTGACACATTTAGCGATCACACCAAATACTTTCCAATGTCTATCATTCATACATTTCTTGTCTTGGATTGTTTGTGTTATTTCCTCTGGCGTCATAGCGCCCTCAATATCTTGTTTATTAGCAAGAATAAGAACGGGAACATCACGCAGTTCGTCTTCCTTCATAACACAACTTATCTCATCCATTGCATCGTTGAATCTAAAAATATAAACCAGTGATTATCAAAAATTTAAGATATTGTACTTTTTATGATTTTAAGAAATGGCATCTAAGTGAGGAGTTTAAAGACTTGGAAAATTAAAGACTGCCAAAATCTTATTTATTAAAATAATTTAATTAATTTACTTTGGTCGGGTGTTGTAGCCTTACTTTTTTCGGGTGTTTAAGTCTTATTTTGGTCTAGTGTCGTAGTCTTACTGTGGCCGGGTGTTGTAGTCCTACTTTGGTCGGGCGTCATAAGGTTAATTTGGTGAGGCGTCATAGGCTCACTTTGGTCCGGCGTCATAGTTTTACTTTGGTCGGTAGTTGTAGTCTTACTTTTGTCGG